GTGTGATTGTGAGTGTGTGTGAGTGTGTGTGTGTGTGAGTGTGTGTGTGTGTGTGTGTGTGTGTTGCTTGTGCGTGGGTGTGTTTCATGTCTGAGAGTTTATGTATATTATGTATATTATCACATACGTTTAGACAGGTAGCAGATACTCTTTAGAAGAATAAAAAGATGCTTTTATATATAAAACAGGAAACATAGCTATTTATCTATGATAAAATACATATAATTTATTTTTTTTCTTCTTATATGGATCAGTTACTGTATTTGAAAAATTCAAGATCAACTTGTTGCTATACATATATATTGCTTTGTTATGGAATAAACAGTGTGTGCAGATTTTACAACAATTATTATTCATAATAAACCAACCTAAAACCATACTACTGTTTTGTCATCTATGCAGAAGTTTCAGTGCTGTAACTGATGATTCCATATGATTAACTAGGCCTAAATGTTAATATCATTTTTTTTATTATTACATAAAGGTTAACGATAATTGCACAATAAGTCAAGTTACTCCTGATGGGATAAAAAATTCTAGCATCATTTATTTGCAAATGACATTTGAAATGCAGTGACAATCACAAATCATTTTTGTGACCACTGTATGTGGAAAAATATTAATACAACTTTAATGTTTAGATAAACTAACACTATATAATGATATAATGTAAATGAATGATGGTATCGAAAGTTCTTATCACTTATTGAACGCAAGACAAAACTTTTGACGAGAGTGTATTTCTATCGTCACCTCTATACTACTCGAATGCAATGCTACAATCTCTTCAGGAGAGGACAGTGTGCTAGCGCACGCTCTGTTCGTTCATCTGCAATCAAGGTAGATCTTTACCCAAGAACACCGGCCTGCCTGAGATGATGCAGCAGAAGAGAAGAGGAGGGGTCTGGATCTGGGGGCACTGGAGGCAGATGGTGACCTTTTCACAGTAAATCACTATGAAACCTGTCACATCCCAGCAGGAGCATTTGGGTCAAGGGGCTCCGAGTGAGAGCGCAAGGGTTAAAATGTCCCACCGTTTCGGCTGCAACAACAGTGTAACACACTAATCGTTACATTTGTTATTAATAATAAGCAGGATAAACAATTTATATATATATATATAGTGCTGTCAAACGATTAATCGCGATTAATCGCAACCAAAATAAAAGTTTTTGTTTACATAATATATGAGTGTGTGATGTGTATATTTATTTGTATATATAAATACACACACATTCATCATATATTTCGAAAATGTTTACATGTATATACATTTATATATTTATATTATTATATTTTATATTATATATAAATATGTTTAATATATAAATATAACATATTTTTCTAAGATATATACATGCATTTGTTTGTATTTATATATACATAATAAATATACACAGTACACACTCATATATTATGTAAGTATGGTTATATATATATATATATATATATATATATATATATGTGGTTCTTTATCTTTC